CAGTAGCTGAATTTTGAATTTTTTATTTTTGTTTTCCCAGCGGCAGAATTTTGAATTTTTCATTTTTGTTTTCCCAGCAGCTGAATTTTGAATTTTTCATTTTTGTTTTCCCAGCAGCTGAATTTTGAATTTTTCACCTTATTTTTTTGTTTATTTCCAGCGGCTGAATTTTGAATTTTTCACCTTATTTTTTTGTTTATTTCCAGCGGCTGAATTTTGAATTTTTCTTTTTTTTTTTTGTTTTCCCAGCAGCTGAATTTTGAGTTTTTCATTTTTGTTTTCCCAGCGGCAGAGTTTTGAATTTTTCATTTTTGTTTTCCCAGCGGCAGAGTTTTGAATTTTTCATTTTTGTTTTCCCAGCAGCTGAATTTTGAATTTTTCATTTTTGTTTTCCCAGCAGCTGAATTTTGAATTTTTCTTTTTTTCATTTTTGTTTTCCCAGCAGCTGAATTTTGAATTTTTCACTGTTCACCCCCTCCCCCGCCCGTATTTTCGGCCCGTTTCGGGGAATCGGCGGCGGCTTCGCAGAAACGCCCCGGCGGGGACGGAAACGGAAACCTCGGAGCGCCCGGGCGGGCGGGCAGGGAGCGGAGCCCAAACTGGGGCAGAACCCCGAAATTCTGTAAAAACTGCACCCCGAAAATGGGACAGGAGACCTGAAATTCTGTAAAATCTGCACCCCGAAATTCTGCAAAAACTGCACCCCAAAATTCTGTAAAAACTGCACCCCGAAAATGGGACAGGAACCCCGAAATTGGGACAGGAACCCCGAAATTGGGACAGGAACCCCGAAATTGGGACAGGAACCCCGAAATTGGGACAGGAACCCCGAAATTCTGTAAAAACTGCACCCCGAAATTCTGTAAAAACTGCACCCAGAAATTCTGCAAAATCTGCACCCCGAAAATGGGACAGGAACCCCGAAATTCTGTAAAATCTGCACCCCGAAAATGGGACAGGAACCCCGAAATTCTGTAAAATCTGCACCCCGAAAATGGGACAGGAACCCCGAAATTCTGTAAAAACTGCACCCCGAAATTGGGACAGGAACCCCGAAATTCTGTAAAAACTGCACCCCGAAATTCTGCAAAAACTGCACCCCAAAATTCTGCAAAAACTGCACCCCGAAATTGGGACGGGAAACCCCGAAATTCTGCAAAAACTGCACCCCGAAAATGGGACAGAAACCCCGAAAATGGGACAGGAACCCCGAAAATGGGACAGGAACCCCGAAATTCTGCAAAATCTGCACCCCGAAATTCTGTAAAAACTGCACCCCGAAAATGGGACAGGAACCCCGAAATTCTGCAAAAACTGCACCCCGAAATTGGGACAGGAACCCCGAAATTGGGACAGGAACCCCGAAATTCTGTAAAATCTGCACCCCGAAATTGGGACAGGAACCCCGAAATTCTGTAAAATCTGCACCCCGAAATTGGGACAGGAACCCCGAAATTCTGCAAAAACTGCACCCCGAAATTGGGACAGGAACCCCGAAATTCTGCAAAAACTGCACCCCGAAATTGGGACAGGAACCCCGAAATTGGGACAGGAACCCCGAAATTCTGCAAAATCTGCATCCCGAAATTCTGCAAAAACTGAACCCCGAAATTCTGCAAAAACTGCACCCCAAAAATGGGACAGGAACCCCGAAATTCTGCAAAAACTGAACCCCGAAATTCTGCAAAAACTGCACCCCGAAATTGGGACAGAAACCCCGAAATTCTGCAAAATCTGCACCCCGAAATTCTGCAAAATCTGCACCCCGAAATTGGGACAGGAACCCCGAAATTGGGACAGGAGCCCCGAAATTCTGCAAAATCTGCACCCCAAAAATGGGACAGGAACCCCAAAATTCTGGAGAAATCTGCACCCCAAAATTCTGCACCCCAAAACTGCTCCAGGAACCCCAAAATTCTGCAGGAATCTGCTCCCCAAAACTGGGGCAGGAACCCCAAAACTTCACCAACACCCCCACCCCTCCCAGGAACAAAAACCCAAATTTAGGAGCACCCACACCCCAAATTTCCCCTGCACCCCAAATTTCGGCTGCACCCGGGCAGGCCCAAAAGAGCCCCCGAGGAATCGTAAAAAAACACCAAAAAACACCAAAAAACCCCAAAAAAATCCCCAAAAAACCGGAAAAACGAAACCAAAAACCACCCAAAAAAAGCAGAAATTCACACCCAGCACGGCAGGGCCGAGTCACAACTTTTTGCCTTTCCAGATTAATTTGGGGCAAAATTTTGCTTTTCTGGAGAATTTTGGGGCAGAATTTTGCTTTTTCAGTGGATTTTGGGGCTGGATTTCAATTTTCCAGACGATTTTTGGGCAGGATTTTTATTTTCCAGAGGATTTTGGGGCAAAATTTTGCTTTTCTGGAGAATTCTGGGGCAAAATGTTGCTTTTTGGGAGGATTTTGGGGCAGATTTTGCCTCTCCAGAGGACTTTGGGGTTGGATTTCAATTTTCCAGATTATTTTTGGGGCAGGATTTTGCTTTTTCAGATTATTTTTGGGTGGGATTTTGCCTTTCCAGAGGATTTTGGGACTGGATTTCAATTTTCAAGATTATTTTGTGGCAGGATTTTGCTTTTCAGGAGAATTTTGGGGCAGGATTTCAATTTTCCAGATTGTTTTTGGGGTGGGATTTTGCCTTTCCAGCTGATTTTTGGGGTGCATTTTCCCTCTCCCGGCGATTTTAGGGTGGAATTTTGCCCGGCACTTCCACCCCCACCCCTTTTCCCCCCAAAATTTCCCAAAAAATCCAAAACCCTCGGCTGGGGTGGGAAAAAACAGCTTTTTAGCAGAGTAAAAAGCACAAAAAAATACATTTATTAACCAAACTCCAGCTTCTTCTGCACCCCAGCGCCAGGGGTGGGCAAGGAGCTCTTTTTTTGGGGCAAAAAAATCACATTTTGGCAGCCCAGGAGGTTTTTACCACCCAAAAAAAATAAGATTATAACTAAAAATATCACCTGCCGTTGCCACACCCCTGCTGAAGGATTCCAGGGAAAGGTTTTGCCCCCAAAAAATTCAATTTTCCACCGGAGCGAAGCGCGCGGAGAAGAAATTCCTCATTTTTTTGGGATGGTCAGCTCTGTAAAAATGAATATATTTTACAGATTTATAAACATTTACAGGTTTTCTACATCCTCCCCAGCCCACGGGGGGTTTTTGGGGTTTTTTTTGTACATAATTACAATTTTTTTGAGTTATTTCTGTGCAGTCAGAGGCTTTTTGGGGCTCCCCCAAAATTTTTCCGTGAGGGGTGGGAAGGCTCCGGAGGTTTTGGGAGTTTTTGGGGTTTTTTGGGTTTTTTTGGCACTCTCTGGTTGAGAATTCCAGCAGAGCTGCGAGTGGAGGCGGAGGAAAAGGTGCTGATTCCAGAAGGGAAAATTGAAACTAAAAAAAGGAAAAAAAATGGGAAAAAAATGGAAAAAAAATGAAAAAACAAAGAGAAAGAAATGA